TATTGGAGAATGGGTTTTAAAGAATGATCCAACCACACACTGTCTACATGAGACAAATTTCATGTTCAAAGACACATATAGGTTGAAAGTAGATGACGGAAAAAGATAAACCTGGAAAACAGTAACGAAAAGAGAGTTGGAATGGTTATACTTATATCAAACAAAATGAATTTTGAGACAAGAATTGTTACTGGACACAAAAAAAGGACATTTTGTAATAATCAAAGGCCAATCCATCAAGAAGACATAACAAGTATAAATGCTTCTAACAACAGAGTCCCAAAATACATAAAGCAAAACTGACACAATTGAAGGGAGAAATAGATAATTCATCAATAATAGTGGTAAACTTAAATATCTCAATTTCAATACCAGAACAGCCAGACAGAAGACCAGTATTTGAGTAGCACAATAAACCAAATGGACCTAACAAGTATCTATAGAACTCTATAACCAACAACAGCATAATACACATTCTTCTCAAATGCACGTGGAACATTCTCCAAGAAAGGTCACATGTTAAGCCATAAAACAAGTCTCAAATTTTAAAGGATTGAAATGTTACAAAGGAAGTTCTCCAAGCAAAATGAAATGAAATTATAAATCAATAACAGAAGTAAATTTGGGAATTTTACCAACATGTGCAAATTAAGCAACACATACCTAAATAACCAAAGTTGATGTCACTGCTTTTTTACCAAAGCTGTAATTACAAGGAAAACTAGACCTCTGAATCAGATATTTTAAAAATACTCAAAGAATGACTAGAAAGACACAGAAAGTAAATGGAAGTCTCTATTTGTCAATCCTAATACAACATATTCCTTTCCACCATATTCTAAGGCCTTTCCAGCTTCTTCTTTCTCTATTAATTCTTCTACCACTAATGAAAACATACAATGTGAACTCTACTGGTTTGGGAAAGAATTCACCCTCTCCCGTTAGAGTTTCAGTGATGTTCAGGACTAGTCAAAGCCACAGGATAGCAACACACCAAAATAGATCTCTGTGGGAGACATGATCACCATGCAAACTACAGATAGTTCTCAGGGTTCTCAAGCATAACAGTGTTATGGAATTTAAAAAATTTTTTTATAGTTTATTTATTTTTGAGACAAAGAGAGACAGAACATGAGCAGAGAGGGAGACACAGAATCTGAAACAGGCTCCAGGCTCTGAGCTGCCAGCACAGAACCCGATGCGGGGCTGGAACCTGCGAACCACAACATCATGACCTGAGCTGAAGTCAGACGCTTAACCAACTGAGCCACCCAGGCGCCCCTGTGTTATGGAATTTAAATAGGGATGTGAAAGCAAATTATTAAGTTCCTTGAGACTAGCAAGGAACTTTTAGTAATTAACCCAAGAATCATACTTATTAAGAGTCTTCAGGCAACAGATTAATTTGTCCTTCTTAGCAATCACCATGAAGGAATCAGTCAGACAACTAAATGGCATACAGTGGCACTGAATGTTTTCTCTTTCCTGCAAAATTATTAATTACTTGAAAAATTACCTGCCAATTATCTGCCAAACTTACAAAAATCTGTCCTCAGAACTACCACATATAGAATATGAAAAACTATCTATATTCAAACTAGAATATGAAGGCCTATCTTTGACAAAGCAGGACTTCTACTGAACCACAAGAAATGAGGCTCATTTTGATAAGTTCATGAACATTTAGATGGCAATTTCTAAGTACTACCTAATAGTAATAGGCTTATAAAATAAGCCAGGGTTATATTAGAAAAAAAAATTCAAATTTAACTTTCTGGATACAGATTTGTAGCATACTATTACCAATCCATGACTGAAACTTAATGTTGTATTTCACTTATGCTGTAACAACATGCTGTTAATACTATCAGTGAGATTATAAAGACTGATTTCTTTCTGGTAAACTGATGATTCCCTCCACCAACATTAATTACTCCCACCTGATGTTATGCCATCACATGAGAGTTATTGCTTTGGATTATAAATGAATCTTGTTTTGAGGAACCTGAGGAGTGAGATATAGTCACTGCCATTAATAATCCCTTCCATACAGGGGGGCCTGGGTGGCTCAGTCCGTTAAACATCCAACTCTTGGTTTTGGGTCAGGTTCATGAGACTGAGCCCTGTATTGAGGGCAGCTGTCAGCACAGAGCCTGCATGGGATTCTCTCTTTCTCTCTGCCCCTTCCCCTGCTCGCATGCATGCTGTATCAAAATAAATAAACATTAAAAATAATCCCTTCCACACAAAAAGAATTAAATATAACATGAATATGTTAAATCAGTCTCAAGAAATGAGGACATTTTCTAGAAATATTCATTGGCCAATTTTATTTTAGTTTATATTTCTTATAAAATTCAGAATATATAAAACTAAAAGACCCTCTGTTAGCTGTTTTACTATATTTGAAGTTGTGAGGACATAAGGCAGAGGCAACTGCAACCATCTTGCCCCCTGTGAGGAGAATCTATCTGAGAAAAGAACTACCTCCAAGGAGACAAAACTAAAGACTAATGAAAGTAGAATCAGAGATTAGGGGATATCATTTGTACTCCTCCATGAAGTATCATCTCAATTTAGTGTGGACTTTTTAGGAATGTGATCATGCTGCACTTGCTAGATCGTGCTGCACTAATAAAAGTGTACCTCTGTTCCCATCAGATATTGATGGCTTTTTCTTTCATAGGACAAAGAAGGTTGCTGAGACAGGGGTGTTATAGTATCATTTTTGTAACTAGACTCCAGCCCCAATCCCTAATCTGGCTTGTCCACATCACTGACACTGGAAAGAGAGCCCTGGTGACGGTCCTCATCTGGCTATCTGTAACCTCCACCTCCTTTGTTTCAAGCACCAATGTCAGGGATATTGGAGGAAGCCACAAAGAAGTACAACAACCACTAATGAAGAACTCTGGGAAAGTGTAAGAACTAAACACACAAAGACCAAGGTGTGAGAGGAGCTGAAAATGGAAGAATTGGCTGAAAATGTCTATATGATGTTGTTAGACCTCCAGACCCTTTTCTCTATCTTGCGTAACCACATAGTTTACTCCTCCTTGACCTCAGCAGAATACTGAAAATTTACTTTCAGAAGAGGATATAGGGACTCTGGACTCAAGAAGACCTTTAGGGGCGTCTGGGTGGCTCAGTCGTTAAGCATTCCACTTCAGCTCAGGTCATGATCTCATGGTTTGTGGATTCAAGCCCCACGTCAGGCTCTGTGCTGACAGCCAGCTCAGAGCCTGGAGCCTGCTTCAGATTCTGTATCTTCCTCTCTCTCTGACCCTCCCCTGCTCACACTGTCTGTCTGTCTCTCTCTCAGAAATAAATGTAAAATTTTTTTAAGACATTAAAAAAAAGACCTTTAGGAATGCCATTATAAAAACAGAGGGATTCATTAAAAGTCTACATGCTAAACAGTGAGAACCACCCCAGGTCCCCCTGACAACTCTACTCTTCCTCTTCAGTCTGAGACCACTGGACATCAGGCTTATAATAGACCAGCTCAGGTGGAAATACTTGTAGCATCGAATAGCAGCTAAGGAAGGCTCCTAACAAAATGGCCAGCCCAATCACCCTATGACAATGCCCATTAGTCAATGAATCTCATTCCTATATAAATAGAATTTCTGTCAGCTTATTAGTGCTCTAGTCTTGTAAGTGAATGAGCAGCAAAAGATCACCAATCATTTGAAAAAATAAGATCTGACATCAAATACAATGACCAAGAAAACTGACCAGAAAAAAAAATGGATTCAGAAACATTGTAGATTACACAAGGAAAGTTTCAAAAGAATTCTCATTAAAATCTTTAGAGAAAATAGCATACTTGCAAAGCCAAGAGGATGATGCTATTTCAAACAATAAAAATAACAATCACAAAGTGAGAAAATGCTGTTGGGACTTTTTAAATGATATCAGAAATGAAAAATTAATTAGAGGAGCTGAAGATAAAGTTGAGTAACTTTTGCAAAAAGTAGAGCATAGAGACAAAGAAATGCAATAAAAAAGGAGTTTTTTTGAAAAGAGTTAATCCAGGAGTTCTAACATGCTAATAATATTAATACCAATTAAGAGAACATGGAAAGTAGGGGCAATGAGTTATTAAAAATAATTCCTAGAATTGGAGAACAGGCATCTCCACATTGAAAAGATACATCACTGAGTGCCCTTCTGTAATGACTTTAAACACACAGACATACACACACATAGACCCATTTTGAGGTCTCTGAAGATAAACTGTTATTACCCAGCTCCCAGAAAGAAAAAAATGAAAATATCAGCATAAATAAGAGCTTTTTCTGAATTCTAAAATACCAATAACAGATAAGCACTGCTTTTATAATATGTATTTATGTCAAATAATTATAAGCTAAATAATATTTTACATGCATTAGGGGCATCTGGGTGGCTAAGTCAGTTGAGCTTCTGAGTTCAGCTTGGGTCATGATCTCATGGGTTTGTGAGTTCAACCCCACATCAGGCTCTCTGCTGTCAGTGCAGAGTCTACTTTAGGTCCTCTGTCCCCCTCCCCCGATGCCCCTCCTTCCCTCTCTCTCTCTCTCTCCCTCTCTCTCAAACATAAAAGAAAAATATTTTACATGCATTAAAAGGGCTTCTTATTTTAAAGAAACAAGACATACGTGAAACAGAAAGAGTTTTCACTGGGAGTATATTCAGGCAATTGTTTTAAGAACTAGGGGGACTATCTGAATTTTGTAGCAGCAGTTTATTTTATTCACTTTTAAAATAAGTAGTTCATAAGGATTAAAAATATGTTTCCTTAGATTTCACTTAAACTTACATGTATTTATATAGGTTTTGACTATATCCACTATTTTTCTTTCAGCATCTTCAGTTAAAAAAATCTAACAATATTAGTAATGACTAATTAAATTAACAATGAAATTAAGTTATGAGACTTTGTATTACCACGAAATATACCCAAACTGTTGACATTTTAAACTAATCCTCTTTAATCTTAAAGGCCACATACTCACCTTGAGGATCAACTTCTTTAGCTAGCTTCAATGCATCTGAGTTTGCAAGATCCGTGTTGGCTGGGGTAACAGCCAAAATCAGACAGTTCTCCCGAGTGATGAACTGCATAATCATTTCTCTGATCTGATATTCAATATCTGGTGGCTGATCTCCCACGGGCACTTTAGTAATTCCAGGTAGGTCAATAAGTGTGAGATTTAACACTGTGTGGAAAAAAAGAGTCTTACATTTACATATACCCTGAATGCTAAAAAGAAATATCAATAATGAAAATTCATCAATCTCTTTAGTGGAAGTAAAACAAGCTCAGCTTTATATACTGTGTTAAGTTAACTCCACCTCATGTGTAGAATAGAAAGCATAGAATACAAAATGACTTTGTTAGCTTTCTTTATTTTGATGACATGATCATACTATGCCAAATAATTATTTTAACATAATTTGAGAGAAACTGATTTGCATATCTAAGAGAGAGCTGTCATATCTGTAACTAGTGTGTTATAATTCAAACACTGAACAATAAGTGCATATGCTGTCTGTCAGTGTTGTACACTGCCTTCAAATTGTATAAAAATTCTTAGGGTAAGATTTGTCCTCCCCTTCAAAAGCATCACATATTATCTAGAGAGGGTTAGCTACTAAGCCTTCTGGAAAGCTCCTAGCTATTTGTGGTACCATGAGCTTACTGCAGGCTATGTGCCCAGACTCATGGAATACCATGAGGAGGGCGGGAAACTACCCCTGAGTCAGTGACCCCAGTTGCAGCCTGGCTGTTATTCTCTGCACACAAGGGTGGCGCCAAGATGAAAATCTACCCCACTGAAAATTTAGTCAGAATAGAGGCTATTCCCTATAACATACCATGAACTGGTTATCTAATTTATAAGTTTCTTCTGATAGTCTGAAAAAAAATCATAGTTGATTCCTCAGGAAGAGAATAAACAGATATATACAGGGCTATAAGAAAATCCAATAGGAGAAGATTCAACCGCAGTACCATCCATGTACCTCTAAGATTCTTGCTAAAACTGAAAATATTTAAAATTGAAAGTTTTCATGCATATCTCTTAGAAATTCTAAGAGTTTAAAATAAAGAAAAATTTTAAGTGATTTACTCAATTCTGATCCTTTTAAAAGTCATCTTCTTCTGCCTTCCCATAGATCTGTAAGTTCTTTGGACCATACCATTTATGGTAGTATCCAAATACTATCCTAGAAACCCAGTACTTTTTAAGAGAACAAACCATCTTCTGCACAAATAATGTATGTCAATTAATGTAAAGATTTTTGAGGACAAAAGTTTAGAATTTTGTTATTTTCCTTACCATGTGGAGAATAGACTCGTAAATTAATGGGTATGGAGGAAATGCCTTTATTCATTCCAGTCACTCGATCTGTTTCTGCTTCAATCTCATGGCGAACTTCATCAAAATCTGTAAATTTTTTTCCTTTGCAATGTAGAAATTCAGCATATTCTACAAAAGACAAATTTACACAACTTAAATTCCATGCACTCTTGCAATAATTATAAGGAAACAATGTTTCTTTAATTACAAGGCAAAGCATCCAATATTGTCTCCATAGCCATTAAAATGAGAGAATACAGCAGCTACTAAGAAACACAGCTAACACTTTAGAAATATTAAACGTAATACAAATGCTAAGAATGCTAAATTTGCTAATTTTCAGATAAGCAATTAAGTACTAAGTCAGCTCTTAAGTCATCTATTCTATTAAAAATTTAAAGAGAATGTTGGCCCTCCAAATGATAAAGCAAACAGCATTTGACTGTCAAAGAAATTAAGTCGAGGGTGCATACAAAGCCTACTTAATCTTATTACCAATATTATTAGTATGTCCTTTTTCAATATCACCACTTTATTAAGAGGGAATGCTAAGTTATATAAATGTAGCATCGGAAAGCAAGATAGTTTAGAAACAAAATTCACTTAATTCTTTAAAGATAAATGATATATGGAATATCTTAGCTTTAAAATATACTATTCAAGATACCACACCAACTTGTGTAACTGAAAAGATAATTTCTCAAGAAAAATAGAGTTTTAGATCACAGGAAATATTTAGCTGCAATCTAAAAAAAGTTAGTATCTGTAGGAAGTAGGAAAAACTCTAAGCTATATATTAACAGAAAATTAAGTTTCAGTAACATCTTACTAACTATTGTACTATCGATTTCTATTCCTGCTTCCAGAGGTGTCAGCTATATGATAGCACAACTCAAAAAGGAAGCTGATACTATTAGACTTTATAAAATAATTACATTTGGAGGTACATGGGTGCCTTGGTTGGTTAAGCACCCGACTCTTGATTTGGGATTCTTGACTCAAGGTCATGAGATGAAGTCCCTCCTGGTACTCTGCACTGAGTGTGGAGCCTGCTTGGGATTCTCTCTCTCCCTCTCTCTCTCTCTATCTCTCTCTCTCTCTGCCCCTCCCCCGCTCACACTGTCAGCTCAGGCTCCATCCACACAGTCAGAGAACAGCCCAATGTAGGGTTCAAACTCAAGAACTGTGAGATCATGACCTGAGCCAAAATCGTTTAACCAACAGAGCCACCCGAGCGCCCCTGGAACATGTTTCTTAATGATGGTATGAAATCTGCTTTCCTTTGTCCATGTGTCACTTTTGAAAAAATGGCAGGCTAAGGCTTGAGTTCATTGAGTTCATTCCTCAATGGTGTAAATATACACAATAAAGATTCAAGAGGCCTCAGAATTCTGGCCTGCAGAGATTACTGCATCATTGGGCATGTGCTCTCATGTTTGCCCTCATAGGTACCATTTTTATTAGCATATAAATTGCCAGAAGACTGAGCCTTTATTTTATTTACCTACTAAATGGGTTGGCTGGTATCATGTGAACATAAGAGTTTAAAGATAAGTAGAGGATAAAACAATAAGAAAAGTAAAGAGGAACAAAGGATGTCAGATCTCAGAAAACAAAAATTAATATTAAAAATGAGTCATAAATAATTTATAAGAAATGGAACTGTAATTTTTAAATTCAATACATTTTGTGTAAAATGAATACTTGAGGATTCACAGCTATCATAATTATTACTTTCATAAAATTAATAAGCTTCTGGATCAGGGACTACATTTTCAATTATGTTACTATCAATAATTCAAGTGACACAAATGTAGACTTCTTTTGTTGCCACTAGAGGGCACCTACTTACTTTCTCTGTAGGAAACCAATGCCCTTCCAGAAAGAGGCAAAATCAATGCAATTTTCAAATTAGATTTAAATTCATTCATGGACTCCTAAAAATGCTTTTATTTTGAAATTGAGATATTAGAATTATGCAGTACAATCTCAAACCTTTGTGTCTTTTTAAGGATAGGTCCCCACAGAAAGATTTAGAGATGCTGGTATTCATTTATTTATTCAACTAATATTTTGAGCTCTTACTATTCACCAAGCACTATTTTAGAAATTGCAGAGGAGGAAGAAAAATAAGTGCCTAATCTCATGAAGTTTAAATTTGAATGAGATGAAACAGTATACAATGTGGGTGTGCCAGGTGATAAGTCCTATGGAGAAAATTGAATAGTAAAGGAGTTATTAAATGCTAGGGCAGGAGGATTGCTTTGTTATATGCTTTGGTTGAGGAAAGTTTCTCTGATATGATAAAGTGATATCTGAGCAAAAACTGAAGAAAAGAAGGGAGCAAGCAATGTTTTATATAGGAGTATCCCAGCAGAGTACCTGAAGTTGGAAGCATACTGGAAGAAGAGCAAGGTCAACATGCCTGGATCACAGAACATATGGGAGAGAGAGAGAGACAGGAGATGAGGTCAGAGCTGTGGTACAGACCTGGATTGTGTAAAGCTTGTGAGACCTTAAATTTTACTCTGATTGAATAGCAGACCACTTGAAGGGTAGAGAGACCTGATGTGACTTAGGTTGGTTGGCTGGTTTGTTGGTTGATTGGTTGGCTTTAGTTTATATTAGAGAGAGAAAGTTCACTGTGTGAGTGGAGGAGGGGGCAGAGGGAATCCCAAGCAGGTTGTGTGCTCAGGGGGCCCAGTGCAGGGCTCAATCCTACAACCCCGGGATCAAAATCAAAGAGCTGGACACTCAACTGACTGAGCCAGGTGCCCCATAACCTAGGTTTTAAGTCAATAACTGTGGCTACTGTGTTGAGAACAGACAATAAGGACTAAGATAGGAAGCTGGCTACTGGGATAATGGAAGTGAGAGATGATGGAGCTTGGACAAGGGAAGCAGCACTAGGAGTGGAGAGAAGTGGCTAAATTCTAATGTACTTTGAAGGAAAAAAAACAATAGGAATTGCCTATGAATTAAAGGTGGGGTATAGGCAAAAGAGAGGAATCAAGAACGACTTTCAAGGAGTTTGACCTCAGCAATGGGAAGAACTTTGAGACTGAAAGGAAGAGGATGGGGAGATGAGGGTTGGGAATTAGGAGTTTGGATGGGGATCTATTAGGCTTGTGTTGCCCACTACACACCACCCTTGTGGAGAAACAGAACTGTTGCTAATGGTTGAGGGTTGCACAGATGTTAGAGATACCACTCACATTCACAGTCATCTGTTAAGTGTTTGTTTATTCTGAAAAATTTCCAGAAGATGGCAGTCAAGTGCTTGAGGAAAAGAGCAGCTTTTTCTAATTAGCACAAAAATGCCTTTGGGGCTAGACACATTAGTCTTTGATCTAGGGAGAAGTCCAAGCTAGAAATATATATTTGGAATTCATTAAAGTTAGGCAAGGGGATGAGATCACTACGTGAGAGTTAGACAGGGAAGAGGCCAGAGTACTAGGCACTGGGTGTTCCAATGTTTAGAAGTCAGGAGATAGAGTGAGCAGGAGTGGTCAACAAGATAGAGGGGAAACCGAAAAAAAGGTGACCCAAAGCCAAGTATAAAGAGTTTTTTCTGAAGTTAAGAGACATTCCACTCCATCAAATATTGCCAACATGTCAGATAAGATGAGAACTAAGAATGGATCACAGAAATGGGCATCTTGAGGGGCGCCTGGGTGGCTTAGTCAGTTAAGCGTCCGACTTTCCCTTAGGTCATGATCTCGTGGTTAGTGGGTTCGAGCCCCGCGTCGGGCTCTGTGCTGACTGCCAGCTAAGAGCCTGGAGCCTGTTTCAGTCTGTGACTCCCTCTCTCTCTGACCCTCCCCTGCTCACGCTATCTTTCTTTCTCTCTCCTAGAAATAAATAAAAATCTTTAAAAAAAAAAAAAGAAAAAGAAAAAAAGAAATGGAAATCTTGAAAGTTCTTCAGGAGGTTGACAAGAGCTGCTACAGTGGAGTGGGGTGGCTGATAGCCTGATTGGAATAGATTTAGGAGAGAAGGGGAGAAGAAAAAGTAGAGACTGATTGTAGACATTGTTTTAAGTTTTTGTTGTAAAGGAGAAGAAAGAAGTGAAGGGCAGCTAGAGAGGGATGTGAGGTCAAGGGAGGGTTTTATAAAGATGGGTAAATTAGCATGTTCATAGGTTGACAGTATTAATCCAGTACTATGGAAAAGTTGGCAATGCAGAACCAAGGAAAAACAAGTGCTGATCTGATATCTTAAGGAAGGGACAGGAGGCATCAGAAAGAAACATCCCAATTCCTCCAAGGGAACAGAAAAGAAACAGAACAATGAGAGTTGACAAACAAACGAGTAGAAGTGATGGTGGTGAAATTCGTTAGGTGAGAGTAGGGACTTACCGTATTTGTCTAAAATCATTTTAGGTCTTAAAAAAATATTTCTGTATATATTCTCACTGGTTAGACTCTACAAATACTATTATTTCTACCACAAAATATGTAACACACACACACACAAACAATGATCCCAAATGAGTGACCTAAGAGTAACCATCACAGGGATGTCAACTGGGTCTAATCTATGTCCATCAATGGGACTCAGACCTGCCCAGCATATTAGAAGAACCAGTGGGCAAGAACCACAAAATCATCTTTTCTGTAGGTCCCCAAGAACCTCTTAGAAGGCAATTGATCCTACAGGATGGAATTCAGGCAAAACTTACTCTGAGGTGCCAGAAGGAAGCTACCTATAATCTATACCTACCCAGTTCTGGAGTAGCTATCTACCCACTAACAGTATAGTGATAGACCACACATCTTACTTTCTCATTAGACAAACATGTTATAGGGGTGCCTGGGTGGCTCAGCTGGTTAAGTGTCCGATTTCAGCTCAGGTCATGATCTCACATTTCGTGAGTTTGAGCCGCATGTCGGGCTCTGTGCTGACAGCTCAGAGCCAGGAGCCTGCTTCAAATTCTGTGACTCCCTCTTTCTCTGTCCTTCCCCTGCTCGTGTGTTCTCTCTCTCCCTCAAAAATAAATAAACATTAAAAAAAGAAAAATATGTTATAATTCATAGCTACAGGTTTATATTGCCAATAAAGTGTGTCTCACTAGCAACAAGATAAGCCAGTCCTGTCATGGGATCCCTGCTCCCTACCAAGCAGACTAT